AAGGAATCTTAGCCATTCAAGCAATAGCTGATGCTGCTGCTGACAATGTAAACTGACCTTGAATTCCAAAGATCACACTGAGGTGTTGCAATCTACCCAGCCCTGAAACCCCTTTTGAACAAAATACACTTTTCTAGTTGGGGATAAAGTCTACATCCCTGGGCTAGATTTTTTTTTCACTCTGGCAGTCTAACTGATCTGCTCTAAACAATTGAGCCAATCAACCTGGGCATAAACTAAGATCAGGAGAAATGAAAAATGTCATGACATTCTGTCCAGCCTTGTTCTTGGGCATGCTGCCTCTCCAAGAAAAGTGGTGCACATCTGGTTAACAGAACGAGACACTATCATAGTTCTGAAAAGCTCCTGTTTTTAAGAATCTAGGACACTACAATCTCCACATGGTAAGACTGAAAACATCCTGTTTATAGGAATCTGTGGTGTTTTAGCTCTTTTCAGAAGTAAAGAACACTGGGAGACACACAAAGATGCATGGGTATTTCCAGAAATTTGTGACAGGAATGAATGAATGATTATCTTTCAAACATGTCTTTAGGAACCAGAGATAGCACCATACGGTGGATTGTGTCCTGGGTTTAGAGTCAGGAAGACTATGACCGTTTCACTCTGAATGTGCCTGCTGTCATCTAATCTTGGAAGCTGAGCAGGAGTGGGCCTCAATAGATGTGTATGGAAGGCTACCTAGGCACATCAGGAGGCTTTTTTTTTTTTTGAAATGGCAGCATGGTATTATGAAATGAGCACTGACTTTGGAATAGGCAGATATAGGTTCAAATTCTGGAAGGGCCACTTCTACCTGTATGACCTTGGACAAGTCATTTAACTTCCTTGTGCCTAGGTTTTCTCATCTGTAAAATGAGGTTTGACTAAATGGCCTCCGGGTACCTTCCAGCCCTATGATCCTATAATGACTATGTTCAAATCTTGCTTCTGACACTATCTCTGTGACCCTGATAAGTCATCCTTCTGAGCCTCAGGCAATTAGTTCCCTAAGATTTCTATACTAAGTTATAGATGGAGGATTCTTCCCCTCAATAGGCTTTCACTTAACTTCCTGAGGTTGTTTTACTGTTGATCTAAAATTCTTTACAGTCACTGAATTACTCTGTTTGTAAAATGGAAGGTTGGACCAGATGGTCTCTAGGGTTCTAGTTCAAATGTTCTATGACTCATTAACTTTAATTTAAAATTTAATTTAAGAGGATGACCTTGTTAGACCCCCAACTTTCTACATGAAAATTGTTTGCTTAGAGCCTGGAAATGAGGAAAGAGTTATTAGAAAAGCCCATAGGCTACAAAGCTCCCACTTTTCTTAAACAGGAAGCAGAGTTGGCAAAAATACTAAGCATCTTCTGAGTACCACAATGTTGCAGCAGCATAGGAAAACTCATAGCAGTGTGAGGAACAGCTCACTTTCTTTTATAGCTAATTCCATTGCCCAGAACTGAGAAAAAGGCCAAGCCAGAAGTGTGGTAAGAGTAATGGCCCAATCTGGGCTTGAATCCTCACTCTGTCACTTAATACCTGTATGACCCTAGGCAAATCATCAGACCTCTCTGGGCTCCCATTTCCTGACCTCTAAAATGGGCAAAGGGTGGAGAGGGGAAGAGAGTAGACCAGAGGACCTCTAAGGTCCAGTCCTAACTCTGTGATCTTCTGACCTTATGTTCTCGTACTGTCTTTGTGCTGAATGTATTTGTCTGTGGATAACAGGAGTGTAATCTCCTTTGAAAGGTGACAGAGAGTTGAGCCTCTTATGTCACAGCCCATACTCACTATGAGCTGCTTTCCTATAAAAAAGGGCATTCCTTGGTCAATCAGAACTGGGTGACCTGAGTTGAGTCTGAAATATTTTTTTAAATGGTTACCTCCCAAATCTAGTATATTCAAATAAGAATTTTAAAAGGAAAAAGGAAATTGCCTAAAATTATAATTTAAAGAAAAACCTGGCAGTCCTTGGCACTTATAAAGCCCTTAAGTGCTTTTTCCTTCATTCATTCAATTGTATTTCTCTTAGTAATCATTTTAACCACTCTTTATAAAACATGGGAAGAGTCACTCAAGCAATATCTTTTGGTTGATGACTTTGACAAGGGACACCAAAATGCTTTACCATTTAGTTTTTAAATATTTGATTCTGGATATGGCTGCCTGACACCTGTTGGATGCATTTGAACATCTGAAGGAATTCTAAAAAGAAATATTTTTGAAAAGCTAATGAATGCCATTTGTTTAAAAACAATGGAATATATATATATATATTCAAGATTGGCTTATTTGGATGTAAGCATCTCTTAAATTTGGTGCTTTCAAAAAGTTAAATTTTTAAGACTGTATCATTCATAAAATGATAAAAAATGGATACTGCAATTTCAGCGAATAACTACTTAGATGGAAATATTACAGATTTGAATGTTTCTGGATCCTGTCATTGATGTATTTTATTGGCCAAGTTTTGATATGTGTGGGGTTATCTCTGGACCAATGTGTGTGGGCCAATCTCTGAGAAATCCAGATATTTTCCTAAGTATGTGCATGTGAGCATTAAAGGAGTGGAACTTGAAAATAAAATAAACCTCATAAGAAAGCTTTTTTACTCCATCTTCCAGCTCCATCAACCAAACAGTGGCAGAATCAGCCCTAGTGACATTTGTCTTAGGTATTATGGGCAATCCATTCCTCCAGGGTCAGCCAGATGAATTTTTTTTTTCCTTCCAGGCCTTTATTTTTTAAAAAGTAAAATACAGCAATATGACTAATAGGTGGAAAAAGGCTACACCAGAGTCAGAAAAATTGGTTTCTAGGTATGTCATCTGCGTGTCCTTGGGGAAATTACTTCACCTTTCTGGGCCTTGGTTTCCTCATCTGCCTAAAATTAGGGGTTGAACTAAGTTGATCTCCCAAGTCTCTTGCCAGCTCTGCCACTCCATGATTCTCTGAGATAAACAGAAAGGTACACGTATATTTCTGGAGGAAAATGTCTGTATTAAAAGCCAAGAAACACAGAACTACAAGAAGAAATACACAAGAGAAGGCTTCATTCGGTAAATCGACTTGAAAGAAGGTTCATTAAAGTCCAGTATCCTCAGTAACAATATATCAATTTTAAATCCTGCTCACAACCCCCCCCCCCTTTGTAAATTAAAAAACAAAACAAAAACCCAAACACTGCAAATACATCTGTGGGCATATACAAAGCGCTACTCTTACTACAATGACTGCAGTTTCGCGTGTGTGTGTGTGTGTGTGTGTGTGTGTGTGTTTTACTAAAATGTTCCTTTGAAAGTTATTAAATATATAAAATAAATACACAGGATCTGGTCATTTTTCTGCTATGAATGTTGGGTACATGGGGGTAGGGTGGGGAGGGAAGGAGGGTATTCATTGCTTGGGAAACCTAAAGAAGGAATCGTGAAAGATGCCCAATACCGTCCCTACCCCTCTTTACAGGTGCTTTTCGTGTCGCTTTGCTCCGAACTTGAATCAGGCTTGCATACGTTTAGGATGTGGCCCCGAGCGTTTCTTTAGCATTAGCCACGGCTGCCGACCGTCTCTTGCCCACCACCCCCACTCCCACCCCCACCCCCACCCCCACCCCCCAAAAGAAGAACAATTAATGGTAGCTACAGCACGAATAAAACCTGTCGAGTATACCACCGGGTGAGTCACCCAAGAGACAACAAACACAGAGTCAAAGGAGAAGAGGAAGGAGGAGGAGGGAGGAGGGAGAGGAGGAGGGCGAGGGAGGAGGAGGGAGAGGAGAGGAGGAGGGAGAGGGAGGAGGAGGAGGAGGAGGAGGACCAGGAAGAGCCGGGAGGAGAGGAGCCGCAGCCCCGCCACGCTGGAAGTGGGAAGGCAAGGGCCCCGAGAGGTGGCGGGGAGCCGCGGCTGGGGAGATTCGGGGAAGTCACGGGGGGTGGACCCCGGTGGGCTACTTGGCCCCGGTGCCCGATGTGACGGCAGCGGCTGCCGCGGCGGCGGCGGCGGCGGCGGCGGCCGCAGCGGTTCCAGATGTGACGGCCGCCGCTGCCGC